CAACCAATGACTTTGTGGTTGACTCAAAAATATTTCAAATTCCATTTCACTAACTCATATAACTAATCCACTGCTCTAATCCATTGTTCCAAATCATTATTCTCACACACCACTATTGTAATGACCATTCCAACACATTTTATACATGTCTGTCTAGCACATCCAACCAAATGAGTCACATGAAAAGGACATTTATTTAGAAGATTAGCGTTTTATAACAACTATAATAAACCTAAGTTTCCTCATAAACCCATAATTTATCAGGGAAATGTACATACATAACACACAATTCCTATGTATTTACATATCTAACCCCTAAAATTTGATAATTGCATTTGTAATTCTTTGGTGTTATATACCTTATATTTCACTGATAAAAATTTAGTAATAGTGATATTTTCGTTGTGATGTTAAAATTCTGAGTGGTATACATATTATACTTTTTTATAATCGTCGATGTGGTCGACGGGTGTAATCATCGAGTAATAAAAACCTCTGCAGCTTTGTGGTCATAAACAATTTACCGAACCAAGTAAATCTATGTGTTTCGCTATGTTTTCAGTTTCACAAATTTTTTCGTTTCAGTTTTTTGCTTTATTATCGTTGTTTTTCACAACAACTGATATAAGAGAGATGAGATAGAAGAGAGAGAGAGAGAAATTGTTTTTTTTGTAATCGTCGAGGCGACCGACGGGTGTAATCCTTAAAATTCTCTACAGCTCTGTGGACGTAGACAATTTATCAAACCACATAAATTTGTGACATTTGTGACATGTATGTGAATGACATGTATGTGAATGACCCATTTTCTTAACCATGATTGAATAAAATTTAAGAGCGAGTGAATTACCTCATGACATTATCATATGCTTCAATGATAACTATATACCAAAATTTTTATTTATATGTGATTTTTTTTTATGACAAATTAAAAAATATGTTAATATAAAAATAAAATAACAAATTAGTTTTATTTTTAAATGCTCCTTGGCCTTGGCTTGCAATGAGGACTTGTCGGCAATACACTAATTTAGCCTAATTTACTGAAAGGAAGGCAATAAATTCGGACAAATGACTTAACGAAACTGCAAGTGGATTGCGCTACATGGTTCTGTTTGAGAAGCAAACGAGTCTTCAGGCCATACGAAAGCTGGCATAATTCAACATCAGGCTACGAATTGACGCACAATAAAGTGTAGGAGAATAAATTCATGTTGTCTTGGTAGGAAAGTGTGGATCATATGGTGAATATGTTAAATTGCTAAATTCATTGTAATAAATTGGGGAATTTACATACATACCTCCCAATTTCTTACATTTATAGCACCCAAATCTTTCATATGTAAATGAGTTGAGTCGAGCTCGAGCCACCCTCGGCTTGAGCTTATGCTTGAACTTGATTAGTTTTATCGAGTTCGAGCTTCAGCTCGAGCTAATCTGCTCCAGTCTGTTAGTTTGAGCTTGCTTGTTTATCATAAAAGAGAGAAATAATATTAATTTAAGGTGGTGTTATAATAGAATGACAAATAGAACAAACAATTATGAGAGAAATAGTAAAAACATTGCTTAATAAAAAAATACAAAAGATTCTTTTTTTTAAATATTTTTAATATTTTAAAGATAAAATCTTCAAATTTAATATATTTTTAACATATGTTATATTAATTTTTTTCTTAAACAAGAAAGTCTTGAGCTTAGATTGCCAGTTCATCATGCTTGGTTCACGAGCCACTTATTGAACCAATCTTGATCCGACCCGTCAGTCGACTTTACTTATACCTCTATTTGTATCACATAAAAAACATAACTTTTTAAGTGGTAAGTATGTAAATTATCCAAAAATCATTTATTGCTCAAACTAATATTCTTTAAAAAATAATAATAAAAAAATCTAAACTAAATACTCTATAATATTCTATTTTTTTTTTAAATTTAATTTTTATTTTTGCCTTTTCCATGGATAACCATTCATGTCAACATCATAATTTCAACAAAGCTACGAATTCTCTATCAAGGATAAGATTTTGCACATGTGTTCATGCAAAGGCCCCCCATGTGGTTAGGCATTATTCAAATTAAATTAATTTTAAAAAATATATATTTCCCAGTATATGTGGGCCCACCCTTTTCCCTGGGGAACCAATAATTGAACAGCATTCATAGTACAAATGGACTGATTGGGCGATCCAACGAGACAAATTATTCGTCCGATCTTCACCGTCGATCACTCAAAAAATGTATTTCAATGGACCCCACTTTCAATTTTTTTTTTTTAAAAAAAAAATATTGATTACGGTGATCGACAGTCGAGATCGAACATCTCATACATCTCTGCATGCGGTGTCCGTACGGAATAACTTCTCATCATCCAAGGGTAGGGGTGTAAACGAACCGAACACGAACGAACAAAGCTTGTGTTCGTGTTTGGTTCGTTAAAATTTTATATTAATTATATAACTTATATTATATAAATATACAATATCTATATTAGTATATTACTACTATAGTATATTAATATATTATTATTATTATTTTATTATATATTATAATTTATAAAATTTAATGTTTTAAAATATAATAAATTTTTTATATATAATTATTTTATATTATTTTATATTTCAAACAATAACGATTCGAACACGAACGAACGCATCACTGTTCGTGTTTGGTTCGTTTAACTAACCGAACGAAAAAAATTTGTTCGTGTTTCTCATTTACTTATTGAACGAATCGAACACGAACTCATTGACGAACCGAACACGAACTGTTCGCGAACAACGAGCTTTTTTGACAGCCCTATCCAAGGGGGCATGAATAGTGCATGAAAATAATAATGCCTCAACTAATAGTATTGATGAGCGGTAGATATGCAAATTTAAAGCATGCATTATGGTATGGTTGTAATTAATTAATTTCTAAGAATAGTTTCTGAGATTACTTTCAGAGTTCACATGAAATAGATAACTTTAGAGAAGGTGTACCTAACCACACCTTTTTTATGGATCTCAGCCTCTAAATATCTTGCCCACTGTCACATGCATTCAATGCAGCTTACTTTTATTTATTTATTTATTTATTTATTTATTTTTAAATAATATAT